AATATAATTTTATTGTAATTATTATTATTTATAATAAATAATATTATACTCATTTTAATCTAAGGGTAAAAGTATAAATCATATTTATTTATTAAATTTTTAATTTTTATCTATCATTAAATTTAAAGTAAATATTTAAATTAAATTATTTTTAATATTTTATAATTTTTTAAATTAAAATTTATATATTTATTTTTTAATTATAATAATTATAAATTTTTTTAACTTAAGGGTAAAATAGTAATCTTACACAATTATCAATTAAAAAATTTATTTTTATCTATCACATCAATCAATTCACTCACAAACTTTCACAAACTTTCTCTACACTTTTCACTCACTTTCCCTTAATCCAAACAATCTCACTTTCCATTCACTTTCCCTTCAAATCTTTCCTTTTCCACTACCTCTTTTCTATCTTCAAATCCAAACAAAACCTAAGTAAGGAGAGAAAAGATTTTCGACCCACTTTCAACAAGTGGGCTAACATGCGGAGTCCCGTATGTGTTGGTCTAGAATTAAGGAATGGTTTTGGACTCCAGAAGCTGTAACCGATTTACAAATAATCAATATTTAAACTTATTTAATTGAGTAAATGTGTTACTTCCATTTTACTATTTTTGTTTTTAAATAAAATTACCATTTAATGTCTCACGTTGATACCATGTGGTAAATAAAAAACATTGTTTTAAATTTTTTGAAAGCTAAACGCAGTTTCGTCTCACTTAGAAGCATGTTTTTTTTATAAAAAAAAAAAAAAAAAAAAAAAAAAAAAAAAAAAAAACAAAGTGACCGAAAGGAATAAGAGAGATGAGAGATCCGTTTCTTCGAGATAAATTTATTTAAATTTACTTTATTTAATAATTTATGTTTTACATTCAATTTTAACGATTTAATAGTTAAATTTAAATTTTTTAATACATAGATTAAGTTTGTAAATTTTTAAAAAATTAAAAATTATTTAATTCTTCATTTTATTAATTGAATAGGATGTATAAAATATTTTTATTGTTATTCGTCAATTTGAATTAATAAAACGAAATATTAAATATCATTCAAATTTTATTAAAAACTTTTAAGTTAACAGTTGGATCGTAAAAATTTAATGTAGAACAGAACAAGTCTAAGTATACTTACTTCTTAAATAAGTTTAAGTAGAGGAGGGATTCGTTTACTCTAAGAGCAAGGCTACCTATACTTATTACGTTTAATAACTCATGTTTTACATCAAATTTTAATGATCTAATCGTTGAATTTAAAGTTTTTAACACAGATCAAATCTGCAAATTTTTAAAAAATTTGAAAATCATTTAATATACTTCATTTCATTAATTCAAATTAACGGATAATAATAAAATTAATGTATACATTGATTTAAATTAATGAAATTAAGTATTAAATGATTTTATACACTGATATAATCATAAAATCATTTTATACATCCATTTGAATTAATTCAAATTGACGGATAATGATAAAATCATTTTCAAAAATTTGTAGATTTGATCTATGCATTAAGAACTTTAAATTTAACCGTTAGATCGTTAAAATTTGATATAGAACATGAGTTATTGAATAGAGTAAATCTATGTAGACTTACTCCTGGAATAAATAGACCCTTCCTTATACACACATACACACAATATAGTTGTTTTTTCTTAGTAGTGTCGCAATATCCAATGGTTAGATTTGGAGAAAACTTGGAATTAGTGGGATTGGTTACTGGAAAATGAAAATCCCAGCTGCTACTTTCCTTAGTTTGGTCTCAAGTCTAATAATAAAATCTTGCATAAAATTTTTTGATAAAAATTGGGCAGAGTCGCCTTTCTATTTTGAACATTCTCAAAAATCTAAAGAGTCAAATAGATTAATAAAAAGACACATACACTCAAAACTCAGTCAATGACTTCTAAAACAAGAGTTTTCACCCATCCAATTCAACAAGCAAAGTGAAAATTAATTCAGACCAATGGAGGCAAGCATACAATAATACGATGGTTGAATCTTTGAGTCCACTTAAGGAATTCCCCTTACCCTTTTGAAGAGAGTACTTTGCCAAACGATTCGAAGCTTGATCCGTGTAGGCTACTAGACCGTGAAGAGCTTTGTGAGAGAAAAGAAATAAAAATGTGTTGGTGTGTGAAAGAAATTCAAGTTGTACTATGAAAATGTGACTTGCCGTGATTGTGTTTTTGTTTGTGAGAGTGTAATGACATGAGTTTGTGTAATTTTGAGTGCATTCAGGGTGTTGTTTGTGCAGCATATTGAGTGAATGTGAGTGCTATGATATTTAATAGTGAGTGAAAAAGAAAAAGGAAAAAAAAACAAAACAAAACAAAAGATGTGCATGTGTGTTGTGTTGTGAAGGTGTTAGTGTGACAGGTGTGTATACAAGTGTCATGTGAGTTAGTGGACTGTGTTGTGAGATTTGAGTCTGTGAGTTTGTGTGTTATTTTGTGAATTGTGAGTGAAGTGTGTCTAAGTGAGGAAGTGTGAAGGGCGTGTGAGAGAAAAAGTGAGGTCGGGAGAATTATGTGTCATGGAGTATTGTTGTAACAAAATGATTTAAGTTGTCATTCTGTACCATTTACTATATGCACAGTCTTTGTGACAAAATTTTGCAACCAAATTTCATGATCAGATGTTTCATAACATGCTATGAACTCAACTTCTATAGAAGAGCCTATAAGAAATTTTTAGCATTCTTTCACGAAATAACACCTTTAGCTAACATGTATATGTAGCCTGATGTAGATTTTATATTATTTTGGCATCCAACAAAATCGGAGTCATGCAGTATATCCAATGATCTCAAGTTGATTCAACTTTTGATATATAAACAGATAATCTTTTGTTCCTTGTAAGTACTTCATGACTCATTTA